AAAAAAAAAAAAAAAAAAAAACAGTACAAAAGAGAAAACGCCTAATGTTACACACTATACAAAAATCGAATATAATATCATAGTAGAGTAATATATACGATTACCGGGGTTTTTTTTTTTTTTATTTTTTATCAATTAATATAATTAATATAATATTATATTATCATCGCGTGTTAAGCGTCATTTCATCGTTTTCGTTTGTATTATCAATTAAGTTTTGATGGATATTTTTATATTGAACACGTTACGGATTTTATTTTGAGGCTATTTTTTTATTTCGCGGCCGATTTTGTTGTGTTTTGAAGTTCCGGCGGCGACGCCGCGAAAGTCCGTAACGGACGAAAATAAAAACAGCTCCGGGCGTATCAACGGCTAAAAACGCCCGGCGTGTCGGCAGTCGTACGATAACAGTAAAAACGAAAATCCATAGTTATATTGTTTATTACAATTGTATTTGTTTTTTATTCCACGGTGTTCGGCCGCGTTTTTATGCGAATTTTCGCCTCGCCGACGCGCCTGCTGTTATTTTTTTTTTTCAGGCGGATATTATACCAGGTAACTTTTCCGTTTCCGTCGGGTCCGCAGTCGGTACGACTGTTAGCCACAACGGGTTCGATACGGTTTCTGATAGCCGGCGATGTTATTTTATAGGTTTACACGGTAATGTTTTTTTTTTCTATCGCGGCTTCGGGCTCGCGGTACCTAACCTAACCCGGTTGACGCGATCAAAGGTGGGGGGAGGGCGGCTGATATAACGGGCAAAGTAAACGCACGCTCGAGAACGTTCCCCTTATACGTTTTTCCGTTTCGACCGTTGTCCGGGCGTCGTGTCATAATAATCCCTTTACGTATTAATATAATTATGCATTTTATTAATTAGTTTCGTATTATCATACGGCGGCGCGCGTAACGCACGTGTAAAACATTACAATATCATTAAACCGTGTTATAATAATAATATTATAAATCCCTTACGCGCGGTACGTATGTGTGTGTGTGTGTGTGATGTACGGCGTGTTTCTAATGCGGTGAAATGAAATCGATACACGATTATAATACGATTATTATATAATATTATGATATTAAAATGTATAGTTAATGTTATTGTTATTATTAATATATATATATGTACACAATATACGATTTTACAAAATAATAATAATATTTTATAATAATTCCTTTTCGTTTTTTTTTTTTTCTCTTTTTAATCATAATAATTATATAAAACTATTCTCACACAAACGTAATAATAATAATAATAATAATATATAGAATCGTCGATAGAGAAAAAAACGAGAAAATCGGCGGGGCGGGGGCGGGGGGAGGGGAGGGGAAAGATAACGATGAAAATCAAGTAGACTGACGGCGGCGGCGACAACGGACGGCCGTCGATTTTACACCGGACGTGCAGCGGATAATCGCAGTGGCGCGATTCGGTGTTTTTTAACATCGAAATCCGGCGAAAAACCCAGAAAACAATATCGCGTTTTAATCGCGCGCGTACGTGCCGATTACGCGTTTTAGAAAAAAAAAAAAAAAACCGAAGAAAGATGAATAACGGTCGCGGGAATAAAATTACAAGCGCCCGTGCGTGCGTGTATATTTATATATACGTATACGTGTAGCCGATTTGAACCGAGAACGACGGACGGTGACGAGCCAGTGCGCGTAGGCGTCCCGCGATAATTCCGCACGGTCCCGCGTGCGCGACACAATATAGTGTACAGTTATCGAGTATCGCGCGGATTTAAAAGTTTCTCAGTATCCGAGAAAGACGAAAAAAAAAAAAAATAAAAATAAATACGCGCGAGCGAAATGAAAAAAATGAAAAAAAAAAAAATAAATAATAAAAAATCCGCGAAGAGTGCGTGCGCACCTCGCGTCGTTATGACCGCGGCCGCACGGTATTAAATACAAATACACGCGTTGTTACGCACGGCGTACGGCGGCGACGCGACGATCATAATACTCGGTGATAACGGCTCGCCGCGGTTTTCGGGAACCGCGGCAATCATCGCGGGCGTCACGACCGCCGAGTGGGACGCGGCCCCGGGCGAAAAGACCGCGAGGGGGTTGTCAGAGAGGGGCGGGGGGGGGTTGAAATATAATATAAAAAAAAAAAAAAACACTCGTCGCCGAATCGAATCGGAATTCGAATTAAACGGCCGCCGTCACCTCCTGCACGCGCGTGCGCGCACACGTCTTTGTCGCCGCCGCCGCGCGTTGTCCGCGCGCCGGATACTACGGTCGTTATCAATGTTATTGCTATCGTCACGGCGCGTGTCGTAATGTCGGGGCGGTACGGCGACCCGTTATCGTCGTATTGTTTTAACGGTTAATGTTTATACGATTAATTAATTATTACTATCATGGCAAACTCTATGCACGCAATTATACGTACCGTTAATATCGATTTAAAATATTAAATATATTATTATGTGTAATTGTCGTATTATATATTGTTATATAAAATACATGCTAAAAGGAATAACGTTATTTCCCGGGTTAACGGGGAGAGAGGGGGGGTGGTAGTGGTGGTGGTGGTGGTGGTGGGTGGGCGACGGGTTTTCTATCCCTCGTGTCTACAGCCTTGTTAAAAACGGGGGTAGGGTAAAAATGGTTTTTTTTATTTTTTTTTTTTTTGTTCTCGATTATTCTACCTTAAACATAAATATATATCGTATATATATACACAAGTAATAATAATAATAATAATAATAATAATAATATAATATATAGACACAGTAATAATAATAATAATAATAATAATAATAAGAGAATAATAATAATAATGTTAAGAATAATAATAATAAGAATAATAATAATAATAATAATAATAATAATAATAATAATAATGATAGTAAATAATAATGATAATAATTACTCGAGGGGAGGGGGGAGGTTGAGGATTATTATATTATCTTACCATCGACAACGTTGGTGGTTGTTGTTGTTGTCTGTAATACAATAATAATAATTATAATATTATTATTATGTCATACGAATGTATATATATATAACAATACGTACACGCGTAAAATGACAGTGTGTGTTTTATTTAAATAGGTAGACAGAAATATCATGTAATATAGCGAAATAAAAAACACCGTGAAGTTATTACTGTTATTATTATTATTGTTATTATTATTTTTTTTATTTTTTTTTTTTTTTTTTTTTTTTTTTTTTTAGGTATGTACACAGCTTTGTGTCAAAATAATATACCGTGATAATGAAAATATTACCATTATTATGATTGCAATAATAATAATATTTATGTTTTTCGTATCGGGTCCGATGAAAAAATGATGGCTACTCAGCTGCTGCAAACGATCTATCGCCGCCACGCCGCCACTTGGTGGACGGCTACGGCCAAGAGGACTAGGATGACGAACGTTGAACCGCGGCCGTGGCCGTTCATGCCGACGGCGCTGGCACCGTTGTAGGTGAGCTCTTCGTTCTTGACCACTTCGTTCGGATGCTTGTCGTATTCGGCTGCGGGCGGAGGTGGAAAAACAGAAAAAAAAAAAAACAAAAACAAACGAGACGGTTAAAATTTGACCTTAAAAATCTGGCGAGACGCCGCCGTGCGGGCGGGTCTCGACAAAACAATATTATCATTAAATAGGTATTTGTCGGACGGTCGTAAATAACGTTTTGTCCGTGATTTGAGATTATATTATTACGGTCGCCACCATAACACCAAAGACGACCGTGTTACACGTAAACAAAGACTGAAATCACCATTTAACAGAACAATTATTGCAAATCTGTTCGCGACTCGTCGTATCGGTTTACTTTCGAGAGACCTCCTTCCTCTTCCAACCCCCCCCCCCCGCCTTTGAGTATGATATTTCGGTCAGCGACGAGATTCATATTCCGTTTTCACACGGTGCACGGTTGTTCGAAAATAATAAAAGCCCCGAGCGCGATAATTTCTGAAATGTTTGTATTGCCGGTATACCATCATTATTATTATTTTTTTTAAATATACAACAGTTCAAGCATATTCAACTTTCGGTTGCGACGAGCAATTGATTACAATCGATCTTGTATCACACGCCAATATGAAAACAACCTTTATAATAATACTGTCGAGATCGTTATGGCGCAGTTGTAGCGAAACGGACGTTCGGACGCGACGCGTAAACGAAACGATTTTAAATATATACGGTCCCGGACGCACTCGCGATCGGAGGGGTTCAGGGGAGGTACTACCGGGTGTGTGCGGGGGGTATGTGCGAGTGTGAGTGCGTGTGTGTGTGTGTGTGTGTACGTGTGTAGGTGTGTATGATACTTACATGATTTCTTTTGAGTCGGCTTGTTGTTGTACAGGGACGGTCCGGTGGCGCCGAACGGAGGCTGTTTGCCGCCTGGCAGTGGCGATTGTGTGGACAAGGTGTACACGGACGGCGGTCGGGCCGGATATCCGTGCGTGCTAACCGGTGGCAATCGTTGCGGGTTGTTGCCGAATATTCCCGGGTTTTGCGGCGGTCGGGTGGCCAGGTCTGCGAAAGGAAAACACACGACGTTTTACATTTTGGACTGCACGTACGTCATCTAGGTTATCGGTATATGCGGTACGTCGGGTTATCGAGACGCTCGTATTGACAACATAAACAACGCGGACGGGACACCGGGACACCATTTAATAATACTGCTTATCAGCGAAATACCGTATAGTGACCGCAGACATGACGCATATGTATAATAAACTAGATCGCTAACACCGTCACATCGTACCGTTGTTGCGCTAATGCTTTTTTCAGGCGAAGTCACGCGATCTCACCGTACACACATATTAACAGTCATCATTTTTGAATTTTTGTCTTTTTACACCGTTGTGGTACTACGGCGGCCAACACCGCGAATGACAGTGTATATTGTTGCACAAATACAACAACAGTGGACGCAATAAAAAAAAATGAACGGTTAAGGCTCACTAGAACCGAACAATATTAAACGGCGGATTGAAACTTTACGTTTTATCACCGACTAGCTAGAAATCTATAGTTTATTATACACATAATCTGCGGTGGTAATTCGTACGGCATCGTACAGTAATCATAAAGAAATGAGAAAAACAGTCGGCCTCACTTGTTCGGGACTGAGAAAATAAAGTGGCCTTAGTAGGTGATGTGCCGTCCGCGTTTTTAATATATGTACCCGACTCGGCGTACGGATTGCGTCCATAACAGTTTTCGGAAATTCGTTACGATAATTTCGACGTATTTTGTTAAGTATCGTCCGCGGACCGAGGAACATCGATCAGTTATAATACGTAACGACGACAACACGACGGCGAAACGGTCGAACGTTTTTATAAGTACATCGGAAATTGGGTTATCGAGTTATTATTCGAAAAAAAAAATACGGATCCGATTGTTTTATTACGATATATTATAGTCATTTGTTCGAAATCGATAGTTTATTATAATCGTTTTGCAAACGGGGAAGAGCCTCGGAGACCACCGGTATATTTTACTGTAACCGATGTATGGCGACACATTAGACACCTCGATGCGGACGAGAGGTGGCTTTAGGTATATTACATTTTTAGGTTGGCGAGCATCTTCGAAAGTTCATACTTTAAAATGTCTGTGACCGTTACCCGAAATTTCGTCTTTAGAAATCACCGCGAATTTCAAACTTTTATTCGGGAACAAGACTTCTTGAAGCCACCACTGGTACGCGCCGATAATAATATATTATACCGGTAAAATATCCATGTTAAATATCGAAAGCTATAGTATATTATGTTTTGTAACTACTCACTTTGGTTGTTGTTCTGTTGGTCTTCTGGTCTACAGCACACCTTGAATACGACTTTCATGTTGTTTGTGGAGCAGCGGCCGCCGATTCTGCGATGGATATCGTCCTTGGACGACGTGGCTGTAAAACGCGAACGTTCGTCATTAGTAAAACGATATTTTATGCAGATGTTTTTGAGTGGCTGGGGACGTAATCGGGTGTTTTTTATTTTCGATCGTTCGGGTGACGTTTTGGTGATGGTGAAACGGGGGTGGGGGTTGCGGTTTTAGTTATTTGTCGACAGAGGAGAAAACCGATAATACTATGATCGCAGACGATCCAGGGGATAATGCATTTTCGACATTTTTAGGGAGGAAAAACGAGATGATGGTCACGGTAGGATTCAAAAAAGTCGTCCCTTGCCGTTGATCTATTTTTACGACGACGGGTAAAGCTTTCGCGAACATAATGCAAAATAAAATACGTTGAAATCCGTTTCAACGAGATCACCGGTTATGTTAAACGTGAAACGGGCGACGGCACGCAAATCTGGAATGTTAATCGACCTTTTATTAAAATAAAATGTAGTAGAGTTTTTTTTTTTTTAGATTCCGCTCTCGGTATTCTATAAATAAAACTTACGAGAATGTAAAATTTTTTTATTATTTTTTTTTTCTAAAAATGCTATCCGCTGTAAATCGTAAAACCAGCCGTTTTAATGGGGATGGCCGCGCGAATAAATTATGCTAATAGTTAAAGAGTTATATAATATTTCTACATGTATATATATACTCACAAATGAAATAGTAGTCTTGTCCCGGTTGAAATTCGAGTCCGCCAGGCTGAGGCGTGAACGACCGGAACGTTATGGTGACGTACATGAGTTTATACGGCTTGTCGCAGTACGCAATGATCCTGGGATTGGGATTGGTGATCCGGCACATGTCGTATTCCTCCTTGGACACCTGAAACAACGACAGCGACGGGTTTTAACGATAATTATATTTCATAATACGTATATAATACGGTTGTCGCGAAACGTCGCGCGTACCCCTCAGAGCCGCGGATTAAGGGGAACGCGGATACGCGGATATGCAGGAACGATTATAGGTTAAGCATTGCAAGTCCGGAGAGGAAAACCGTTTTCTCGGATCACAATAGACAGTTATCTCTCTCAGTCCGTCCGTCCGTCTGTCTCTCCCTCTCTTCTCACTCTGCGTGTATGTCTCTCCGTCCGACCGTCCGTCCCGTCTCTCTGGCAAACGAATAATACAGTCGTTCACCGACTATTATATACGATTCGAAATTTCCGAAATTCCGGGCTATTGTTCGCAATACGAAACGTAGGAGACCGCGGCCAAAAGCGCCGGCCGCAGTGCTCATCACCGCGGCGAACAAAAACTCGTAAACCGCGGCCATTATCACAGCCGGCGTATAGACAACGACCACGGTAATAATAATAATAATAATAATATTATTATCATAAAATCGACCGCCTCCGGTCGCCGCCGTCAATTAGCCGCGCGATAGTTATGAAAAGGCCGAAAAAGTTGTGCGCGACGGCAAATGCGCGTGACCGCCGTTAATGTCAAATAATCTACCGACCTGACCCGGCCGCTCCCGCTTCACCCCCGTACCCTCGCACGCCCGGTGTCCCGCGGCACTGTATTACATAATAAGAACCGCTGAAATCAGTTAAAGGTCGTCTTCGCGGCCGCGGCGCTACGGCACTCGCAATACAATGGTCCCATTGTCCGCGGCCATCGTCATCGCCCTCCCCGCTCTCTCGTCCGCCATCCCCTCCCCCCCCACCCGCCGGTGGAAATAAATAATAATGGGGTAGCGCTGCGAACGACCCGCGACGGTGCGCGCCGTATTATGGTATATAGGTGTATACACGTCACCCGCCGAGGAAAAACTTTCCCGGTTCGAGTGCGGTCGTATAATAATAATAATAATAATATAATAATAAAATACGACCGGACGCACGTTGCGTACGCGCGCTCCCATTATATTATAATATAATAATATACAGACCGGGAAAATTTCTCACCCCTCCCCTCCACCCCTCTCGTTCGCGCGCCAAGATCGGTCAAGTGCCCTACAGCCCCAACCACCGTGTCCTTCTGTTGCCCTCCCCCCCACCCCCGGGTCGAAAATTAACCGACCGCGAACCGCCTCCTTCGGACGTCACGCGATCCCGCGGCCCGTTAAGTCGTACATAACACGCGTTGAGCGACGGTTTTAACCGTCCGACGCGCCAAACAAAGGCTCCCGGAGACCGGCATCGACAATCCCGTTAAAAGTCTCGACGCACCTCTTTGAACGCGCGCGTATCCGCACGCCGCGCGGACAAAGGATACGCGTGCGATCGCGTCGCGTGACGAGAAGAGACGTGACCGGAACAGCCGACGGCGGGGAATCAATTGAAATAACACGACAATATAATAACACTTTGTCTTGTTGGGAACAGAGCCGATCGGAGAACAGGATTTCCACAGGGTTCTCTGACAATGTATACGCTTTGCTTACCGGGTCCGAGAAATATTCGGATCCCGGGTTTCGATTTTTTCGGGTTTACTTTTTAAATCGGTTTGATTCCCCGGGCGACGGTGTAGGAATAGAAACGTCGCGAATAGACGATGGATCGGTGAGACGGCGACGGACGAAAACCACGGATTCGGAGAGTTCGCCGGTCGGAAACCGTGGAGAACGATAACAAAGTGTATATATTATAATAATATTATAGTTGTGGTGTCGAAAAAGTCACGCCGGTACGGGTAGAAGAAGAAGAGAAGTAACTCACGTTGTAAATGATGTATTTTTCCGCGTCCGATTCGTGAGTTCCTGGCGCGTACACGGGGCACACGATGTTCACTTGGTCATACTCGAATGGCTGGTTGCCGCGGTTCACGTCGATGATGTGGTCGGTGTTGTCTATCCGGAATCTGAAACAATCGTTATTCCGCCGTTAGTATACAATATATACGTCATAGTTAAAATAAAAATTATACACGTTTATCATAATTAGCACGCGCAGACAATAATATAACGAAAACAAAAGTCCGACGGAAACGGAAAAAAAAACCCGGTGCGTTTGTTACGTTCAAACGTATTTTTTAATTCTGAAATCGCGCGGTTATTCGCTTTTAGTTTTATTTTAGAAAGCGTATAAATAATTATTATTGTTCGCGGTCGCAGCGTACGCCGAAAGGAAGACTCGAGGGTGGGGGGGAGGGGATATTTTCTTCGCGGCATTTTTGTATCGCGTTGCATTGTCGTGTATTTTATATCATTGTTGTTGTACCGCGATACCTATTCGTTTACGCTTTGGATTTTCGAACAAAAAACAAACGTTAACGGGAAAACGCGTCGAGATTTCTAATGTCGCGCGGTAGTCAGCTGCAGTCGCGACCGACGACGTCTGGCCGTGCCACCCGCCGAGCTTTTGACGCTCCGCTAGCCCCCGGGCGGCTGCGGCATAAAACGAAAACGAAATCCGGTTCGGGCGAAATTTACCGGATTACATTTTGCATGGATATTATTACGCCGGCGATCCGGCAGAACACTTTTACTCCCCGAGATTCGTCCGGTATTGTGCGACGGAAACCGAGCGCGTCATTGTGTTTCTTTCGGGTAGAAAACTTATTTTTTTCGCCCTTCTTCTCGCCCAGGCTGCGATAAAAAGGCGACGAAACGCTGTTATCCGTACAATACCGATCAAACAGCCGGGCTTTGACTCGACGAGAAAAACTTTGGTGACTTAAAATCGCCCGCGGACCCGAATCACAGTCTCACAAACAGCGATATCAAACGCCCGATCCGCGCATCCAAACACACTCCCCGAGGGATATTCGCTCGGCTTAGAAAGGACGTATAGTTGAACGGATACGAATTCCGGACATTGATTTATACAGTCTCGCGTAAGACTTCACCGAGCCATTATAGTATACAGTTACCATACGCATATGGATCCCGCGAGCACTTGGTTTTATTATCGTTGCGTTTACTCAATGTTCGCAACAATATTCGTTCCGTTCGATTTCGATTTTATTAGAAAATGTATTTATATTACGATACGATTACACGTATCGTGCTGCTCTAAATAAACGGCTGCATTACCTATAATAAAAAGGTAACACTGTTCGGGCCGCAAGTTCCGCGGCGGGAAAACGGCGTAATCTTGTGCGCGTCGATGGATATTACAACGCGCGCGGCCGCAAACGCTTGAAATTATAATAATTTCGCAGCCGCATAATATTATATTATAGACGACTAGCGGTGGTTTTTACTGAAAACAGAACGCGCAGAGTGGGAAAACGGAAAAAAAAAAAAACCCGTTTGGACGCGATATTATACAGAATAGACAAAACGCGTCGCCGTCGTGTTTAACATCTGAATAAGGGGGAAAACTGTTTGATCGCGTCGACGGTACATAATCGGTTTTTATTTTTATTTTTTAACACGCCGACAGTTTATGCACAATATACAATATAATTTCGTCGCGTACCCACATTATAATGTGTTCGTTTCGGAAAATTCACCGTCGACCGCGTTCCGCCGAGACGGTAAACGCGCCGGGTTCGTTCGAATTTCCGAAATCGTAGAACAATCGCCATTACTCATTAAATGACTTAATACCCCGCGGAGCGTTTTAAACGCCAACTCGAAACGTTTTGATCGTTCGAGAATTCAATTAAAACAACCGGCAATAATATGCATACGCGGTTCCTGTTCGTCCTCGAAGTACAAATGCGAATAAACTGCTGTCCCTGTACATACGGACGAACGAGTAACATTTTTCGAATTGCCGTTTAACAATATTTTCATAACACGATATTTCGAAACAACCACAAAACGCGTTTAAAAACGAAATCGTTATTTTTTTTCCCCCGCAACCCTGTCCCTGCGACCCGTCTCTCACGAAAATCGTTTTTAAAACGTCGAACGTCGCGTACACAAACTAAGTACTCCGGTAGACGTTCGTCGTAGTTAGTTCAGAGCGCGTCGCACTCGCGGAGCAGCGGGCCGAGCAAACGTCGACGAGAGCGTTCGTGAAGCGGTGCGCCGTCGGAAAATACGTGGGCGACGTCAGTCTCGCGGGGTCTCGTAAATATTTCGCGATTTTTCGATCCATCGCGTCGCCTCCGGGACGCCGCAGTCGCGTGTTCGGCGTACGCGGCCGGCCCGTCGGCGGTCCGAGAGACGGCCAATCCGCGTCGTCGACTGCACCAGATATCCGGTCGGACGTGCGGTAGGTAACGCTGCGTGTCGGTCGGGCGTACGCGGGAAACCGCACGGTTCGTGCCGTGACAAACGATACGCGCGCGCACACACACACATGTATTAACACGAACAGCGACGGGCCGCCGGCCGAAACCCGCGAAGAAACGCCATCGTATATCGGGTGTCTCCCGGGGAGCGAGGGGCGAATAAGGGGAGGGGGGGGGGAAAACCTTGCGCGAGGGGAAAAAAAAAAATGGGGTTTTTTTTTTTTTTTTTTTTTTACTATTTTGTTTCGCGCGGTCTATTAGTAGGGACGGTGGGAGAACGGGTCGCGAGCGCGGGAGATACGCGCCATGGTGGTGCCGATGGGCGGTTATTACGCGTGCGGCGGGTCGCCGCCCTCCGCGGTCCGCGGGTTCCGTACGCACGCATATTATGCGCGGCCGTAAGTACGTGTGTGCACGCACAAAGAGAACGCGTCTGTATATAATACGTGCGACGCGCGTGCACAATACTCGACGTACGCCATATACCGCGGTGCGTACACGAGTACGGGGGCGCGCGGGTCGTGCGAAAAACGTCGGGGCGGTCGGCGGAAATGGCGGCCATTATTTTCGACGGGGGGGAGACCGAGCGAAAATAATAATAATAATAAAAAATACGATGAGAAAAAAAAAAAAAAAAAATTCCCTAGGAAAAAACCGGCGGCGTTGATTAAGTGCGAAGGGTTGTCGCGGACGGCCGCCGAGCCGAGCCGCGGCGATCTCCCGGGCCTTTCGCGTTATGAATTTTCCGCTCTCGTCGGGCGCGCGCGTGCGCACACAAAAGCGCTCGTCGCCGATCGGGCGCGAGCGTGCGTACAGGGTGTTTTCCGAACCGCAGGGTCTCGCCGTATACACTCGTATAATTATAACTACACACTCGTGTTTTTTTGTTTTTTTTTTTCAGACCGTTTTTTTCCTGCCTCCCGGGTTCCCGTTCTCATTTCCTACGAAATCCTCGCGCGCATGCGAATCGATCGATAACGCGGCAATCGAGCGTATTTGCTAAAAATGAATCCCCTCGGAAAAAAAAAACAAAAAACTTGAAAATTGAGTCGCGTGACACCTCGTCGTCGTCGCATTATATTTTGTCGGCGAATTTCCCGGGACGAAATGTTTCGTACGTAAAATCGAGAGAAAAAAACCGACGGTACTTATAGGTTGTATGTTCGTAAACACCCTGTATAATATTACCGTTTGTTGTAGTGAAACATGACTTACTACAGCTGCGCGCGTACGCTTACGCGGCTACCACGCTACGCAGGAGGGTACGGACGCACTTTTTCCCTATTGTGTCGCTTTGCAGCCGCTTTTCCCGCGCTCCCGCGACAATTAGAGAGTAGAGCTTTCTGCCGATCGAAGGAAATTATTGTACTCGCTAACCCCATACAGCCCTCCTCGCCTCCCGAATCCCGGTTCGAAAAACAATAATAATAATAGACTCCGTGTCACACTCGCGCGTTATTGTTATTATTATCGTCGCTACACGAACGACGACGACGAGTAGAAATAATTGCAGTAATTGTAAAGGATCGGGATAGAATACGCCGTCTCTCGTCGAGACTAACGTGCACGTATATTACGTTCGGTCGAAAAGAGACGCCGAGAGAAATAATTACTAACCCCGACTGCTGTTGCCGCTGCCGCTGTCCTCGACTCTACGGGATGGGGGGGAGGGGGTTCGGTTCGAAAACGCGTGTGTGAGCATGTGGAAGAGGAGGTTAGAGGCGGGGAGTGCGTTAATCCCGTACGAACATATCTCGAAGTCCCGTCGCCGCCGTACGAGAATTATACCGACGGGTGGCGCTGCGGTCGTCGAGCGTTTTTTCGCCCAGATGACTTACGTGTAAGTCTGTCACGGTTACCGTTCCGGAGTCTTCGCGACGGACGTTTTCGAACGCGCCCCCTCCCCCCGTCTCTGACTTTACCGGGTCTTCCGAGTGGCCGCGAATCCGACGGTAAACCGTATCGACGCGTCACGCGAACTCTAACGCGTACGTGCCGTTATAGCAGCGTACTGTTATCGTCGCGACATCCGCGCTCGCGTGTACGCGGTTTTTTTTTTTTCTTACGCGCGGCGCATTTCGATAATGAGCCGAACGCGGGCGCGTTACGTTCCGACCCGTATGCAGCAGGTCGGAGAGCAATCGGTCGACCGGTATAACAACAATAGTAATTTATTTTGTATTATTTTATCAAATTAACGGCCAATTAATGGGCTCGAGTGTATTGTAGTAATACATATTTACAATAAATCGATATCCCCAAGGATCACCAAGGTACTTAGACGCGTACGGTATACGTAAACGGAACGCGCGTACGTATTAACACGTGTATAATAATAACAATAGAGAAAATCGAAAATTCGAACGGCAACGCTTTAGGTCCGCAAATAGACGGCGGAAGAAAAAGATCAAAGTAAAATTACGGTATAACGCCGTTCAACAAAGCTTGTAAGGCAAAGGCATATCGGGACTTGAGAGAGCATATCAATTTGTACGAGGCGATCGACCGTCGCTAACGAAAAACGATTCCGAGCCGAAAGCTAGGTCGATAGTATCAGTTGATAATGTCGAATATCGACGTTCCGAAAGGCGCGCATGGACCGAAATCCGCTCGGGATCGTTTTCCGTTTGCCAAACATGATATTTTATTTAAACACGAATAGGTACACACGAGTTTCCGCGGATTTATAATTATTATTTTCATCGGTCTCGACGATAATTTCGATTCGTACCACGGTAATATTATCGCCGAATGTCGTCTCGGGAATTGTCCGCAAGGCGTATAAAACGAGGGATGGAAATTTTATCGCCGTTTCGGCTACGATTATTTTCAAGGGTGGGAGGGGAAGAGCGTGGTACGGATGGGAAGAAGAAGAAACGTCGTGTCGCGCAAGAAATCTCCGTCTCTCGAGGAGGTGACATTTCTATTATTTATCGCATACAATGACGTGCCGTCGAGACGACGGTTTTCGGAAATCTTGGGCCCCGCGAACAAAGGCCGACGCCACCGCATACTTCTTCGCGCGAAAACGCGCCGCACACCTTTTTATTCGCCGGATACGGACGCCCCGGACGGTCCTTTGTTACAGGGCGCTATTGCCGGGCACAAAAGAATACCGCGAACGTCCCCGGGCACAATGACGAGGGGCCGCGCGGATCCGAGACGCGTCCGGCGTCTTCGACGACAAACCTTTTGCCGTTTGGTGTATTATTTATAATTAACAACGACGATGGTATTGTTTTTATTAAAATATATTATTTAGA